TTACGATGCTCAATTTACGGGACTTAAAATGTTTGGAAATATTAAAATTAATTTTAATTTACGGCAGACTTAAACGTTTGAAATATAACAAAATGCTTTAGACCAACAAATTTTAGATTGTACAAAGTAGTTATCTGTCTTATAGGCAATTTACAGGGATAAATTGACTGAGACATGTCAATTTAATGTATTTCTTTCAAAGTATTAAGAATTTCGTTAAATTGCCTAAAAAATACATTTAATCAATTATAACCGCAGCCATTTTTGCACCCCAAAAGAAGGGGGTGACAGGGACAAATTCTTCTATTTAAGCAACAGCTGTTTTAGATGTATGCTTATTTAGCAAACAACACTTTTCATTCGCTCGTTAATTTTCACGCTGTTTTTCTCAGTTTTTCCCACTCGTTCTCTCTGCGGCCCTTGAGCATTCCTTGCATGCACTGAGCCCTAATCCCAGGCCCATCCATCAACTCTGCTGGCTACAAAGCAAATCCAATTCGCTTGAGGTTTCTTTTTTCGCTGTTTGTTGTTGCTGTTGCTGTTGCCGTTACTGTTGTTTGCGGCAACATACAAGAATGGCCTCAGGTCATGCAACAGGGCCACAACAAGCCAAACCCAACGAAACCAGCTAAATAAAGCGCTACAGCAAACCACTTCAATTTCATGTAATCTCTTTAAATGTGAAACAACGCACAAAACCAAAAACACAATAACAGCAGTAACAAAATCAAAATGAATCCAACACACGTCAAGCTCTGCACTTCAATCGAATTCTCTCAAAAGCTGTTACAAACAAATTCTTTGCGAGTGAAAATAAGAAACTTAAATGAGTTTCAATTTCGTGAGTGTTGGTTGTTGTTGTGTGTCCAGTGCTTCAAAATGTCATTTCATGTACAGTTAAAAATTGTATAAATAAATCTATTAGATGCTGTTTGCTGCTGCTGCTGTTATTGTTGTTTCTGCTGCAATGTCACAGTCGGCAACACTTTATTTGATTTCATTACTAACATTTTTTAGCTTTTTGTTGACATAACGCTCCAAAAAGAGATGAAGCGAAAGCGAAATGAATACCACTCTGGTTAGAGTGAGATGGCGATATGTTCCTTTTATTGCTTTTCATACAGATGCAATTGTCTGTATGGGTGTGTGTATATATATATATATATGGTACAATCAAACATTGATGTCAGAATTTAATATGCTGTATAAATCGTTTTGAGCCATTGACACATTCATGCGTTCGTTTTGTATTCGTAGAAAACAGCCATGGATACACAGTTACAGTTACAGTTACAGTTACAAACAAGTGGGATTGCTCCAGCATGAGAATGCTCGACTACATGATACCCTTAAGAGCATTATTCTGCATTCGAATGCATTGTATTAAATATCAATCCCACGTTTTATTATCGCATCTTTCATTCAATTTTTTAAATATATCAGATTAATAATTTTTAAATTGAATGAAAAATTTCAATATTGATATTGATGATATCGATTATTCAAGGAACTCCTTTTAAACTTTCTAAAGTTATTATCTATACCAGTTTTTAAAATTAATAACTGGGTATAAAAAGGCAACGAGTTCCCTGCTCTTATATGAAAAAAGATGTATATTTACACGCAGCTCACACACACATACAAACAAACACACACATACACACACGCACACAGAGATCAGCGAGTTCTTGTTTTCATAAATTTTTTGTATTTCTTTGTTTTGTATAAAAATGTTCACTCTTATTGCTTTTCGAAGCTTTTCCATTGGTTCACATTTCATTTATTTTCACTTGCAGTCAACTCAACTGGGAGCGTGTTTGTGTATGTGTGTGTGTGTACATGCATACACATATATCTGTGTGCACTTCACAACTTAATACACTTTATTATTGAAAATATTTTTTATTACCAAGTGGGCTGTTTGAAGCGATTTCCCAGAATTTGGCCCTGACACGCGGATCGTGGTTTACCCCACTGTTTGTCGTTGTTGCTGCTGTTGCTTGCCGCATTGATTTGCTGCACTGGATACACCATGAACAAAAAATATACATATATAAAAACAACGAGTACAAAGCACTTCTCTCAACAAAATCGAACTCTGCCCCTTTATAAGCGCACAATTCACTGTCGTGTTTTTTACATACTCTAATTTGTACTTCGAAACTTGTAACACATTATAGGAGACATATATTTCGTAATTCCAACAAAATGAAGTAATAACGCTAAATTAGTCCACAACCAGCCAGATTTATGCATTGATTTTGATACTCTCTTTGTAATATTGTAAGAAGAGAATGAATTTATCGTGCATCGGTCATAGATCTGAAGGGTATTTAATCTTCGGCACACCAAAAATAACTCGTCTTCCTTGTTTCGCTTTTTGTACTGTTTGATTTTGATATTCATGTTGCATGTTGCTGACTTTTGAAGTTTTGGCAAGTGGAAACTTTTTTCAATTATTTTTTATTTTTGGGGCGTTTTTATTCTATTTTTTTTATATATATTTTTTTTTTGTGTTTTCGTGGAGGGTTCAATTTGTTTATTTTAATTTACATTCTTTTTGTAATGATTCGAGGATATACCAATTTTATCTGTACTGATTATTGTTCAAAGTTTTTGTAGGTTAAGTTTTTGTTTTTGATTTCCTTTCCTTTTCTGTGTTTTTTGTGCTTTATGCAAATGCCCTTTTGAGCCACACTAATGAACTACTTTTTTGTGGCCTCCCCCAGCCCATCTTTCTTGTTGCTTGTTTCATTCAATTGAATTGTGCGTGTGCCACGCCTCTGGGCTGCTACCACGCCCACCCCACCCCCTTTTCTCCCATGCGCATAATTTATATGTCTAAATAAATACGCTCAAGATTCGCTCGATTCGTCGTTGCTGTGAGCGTCAGTTTGATAAATTATATCAATTTCTTATGAACTCTCCAGAATATACATACGTATGTATATCGGTAGTATTTTATGTAGGCGTCAAAGTTTGTTTTTAGAATGTATATATATATATATATTTTATTTTTTGCTTGTGTGTATTTTGTTATGTTGTCAGACTTGCTCAACTGTCGTCGTTTTACCAATTTGACACTTTTAACGGCTGCGCACTTCAAAATTCAAATGCTCCACGGCGCTTGACAGTTGCACATATGAATTTTTAATGGGCTTGTGGAAGGCTTTTAGAGGCAAGCGAAATCTGCATATGGTTAAGCTTATCAATATGGTAATCGTTCCGTTGTGTGTCTGTCTCCCTGTCTGTGTCTGTGTCTGTGTATGGCTTAATGGGGATGCTAAGTAAAGTACTCAGGTGGATTTGGGTTATTAGATGATATGCGCTCGGCAATATATACTTGGTTAACTTTGTCTTTATCCGTCAGGAAGGGTTCCGCTACTTTAAAAAGTTGATAAAAAAAAACCGATTGGTTTTGTTCAAATTTTTTCATTTAACTTTTTAGCTTTCTCTGTGCACATTTTTGTGTGGGCAATCTTTGGTAATAGGAATATTTTAATTGTTTCGAAATTCTTTCGGCTTAAGCCCAATCAAACAAGCCAATTTCTCATAAACTAATATTTCTAACGAGCCAAAAATTAAGAAGACACAATAACAAAAAAGCCAACATTTTGATGTGTGGCCAGTTGGCTTCCAGGCCGTTGGCTATTAGCCCAGAAAAACACACATAAAGAGCTGCAACACATTAGCCAGCAACGAGACGAGACGACGAAACAAGAGAACCAGACCCAGACCCAGACCCACCAAGTAGCCAGACGACAGACGACAAAAACGAACTAACAAATTGCCGCCGGCTAAAACTGTTCCCAGACAACTATGGAAAACAGACGATGGCACAGCAGCGCAGGGCACCGAACTAGAAAAAGTTTTTTGGACGCTAATCTATAATGCTGTCAGCCATTAAACATTAAACAACTGAAAAACCAAATTTGTAACTCATTAAAAAAACAGAAAAACGATGGAAACGAAAAGAAACGAAACTAGCTGGAAGTGAATCGAAATGACTGATAAATGCCACTCGGCTGCTGCTCTCTCGACTGTCTCATTTGGGCTGCCAAATAATATTTAATTATAAACAAATAAACGCAAGTCGTACAACTCTTAAGACCCCAGGCTAACTCAATGGGGTCGTATCTGTATCTGCTGCTGCTGCTGTTGCTGTTGTTGTTGTTGTTGTCTTTGCTCTTTGGGACTGCTGCTCGTAAAAGGTGCAGAGTGATTAATTATATGTCAGAGGAATTAAATCAAATATTTGAGTTGACACACACACACACACACACAGATACATATACATATACATAACAAAACTCATCCACGTACCGAAACGAATCTTGTTTCGGTGCTCTCTGCGGCTTATCTGTCTATACGAAATCACGAAATGCAAATAAAAATGACTTAAAAATGCCATAATAATTTCCCGAGCACGAATGAAAAATTGAAAAACAAACGAACAAGCGCAGCACAAAGATAACACAAATTTTCAACCTTTTCCTAGCTTAGATCGCGCACTAAGCAAGACAGAGAGAGAGAGAGAGAGAGAGAGAGAGAGAGAGAGAGAGAGAGAGAGAGAGAGAGAGAGAGAGAGAGAGGGAGAGAGATCGAGAGGTAGGCAGCCGACAGGCAGACAGTCTGTCATGACCAAAAAGAAAAACAGAACAAACAAAAAAAATAAGAAAACATTAGCATATATCAATGCCAAATGCAAATAAATCATCAATAACATTTCTTTTCCACTTATGCACCACTTACAGATACTTAACCGCAAAGACAAAGACGACTGTCTGCCTGCCTGACTGCCTGAGGAACTGCGTCTGCGACTGCGACTGCGACTGCGACTGCAGCTGCATTTATTTCCAACTTCCAACTGCTTCTTCTTCGCCATCGGATCAGTAGCCAGCGTTTTGTCATATGCCTGGAAGCATTTGGAACGGCTATGTTTGCATAAATTGACGCCAATCGGAGGGGGATAAACCAAAAAAAAAGAAAAGAGAGGAGCAAGAAAAGCCGAAATGGAAAGGCAAACATAAACCAATTTTATGCGTTTTTAAAATGCGTCAATTGACTGAAACAACAAGAGCGCGCTGCTAAATTCAAGAGGACCGCATGTGAGCACGTTTGCCACACCAGCCAGCACAAAAGGGAGTCACACAAATCAAATACAGCCCATCCGTATAAGCATATCGGAAAAGGAACCGCAGGACGACGTCGTCGACGTTGCTGTGCTGATAAGAAGTGTAGGGGCCAAGGCGAAACGCTTGATGGTTTGTTGACGACCAACAAAAAGTTGTTCAGTGTGTAAACATTGGCAGCATAAAAACGACAAAACGGCAGAAAGGGAAAAATGGAAAATGGAAGAGGGCAAAGGGCAAAGGGAAAACGGCAAAGGGAAAAGCGAAGCTGAAAGGAACAAGCAGCCGTATTTATAAATGCGCTACAGTTACAAATTGTAGCCACAGCTGTGCGTGTGTTTGTAGCATATGTTGTGTAAACCATTTATAAATGTAACAAAAAGCAGACAACAGCCAGTTGTTGGGCGCAAGTGCAATGCATTAATATCAACAAAGATACACACATAAGCTTAATAAGAAAAAGCAGATATAACAACAACAACAGCAGCAAAAGCACTGAGCTCTATAAACAAAACGCAACAACAACAACAAAAAAAGAAAATCAATAATTTAAAGCGCCAGCGAGTTAAATTTGTATCAGCGCAAAACAATTTAAAACGCGACGTGAAATCCAGTTTGAAGAACAACAACAAAAACAAGAAAAAATCCACAAGAAATACCTTTGCAATTTCAGCAATTGTATCTGCAAGATACATTAGCTTCGAGGGTGTGTCGCGATTGTTAAATGACAAGAAGCAGCGTGCAGTGCATAAAATACGCGAATTTACGTGCCAAAAGTGCAATTTGAAGGAGACAAGATATATTTGTATCTGCACGATGTATTTGTGACAAGTGCAGCTTAAGGCAATCGAAACACCAACGAAATCAGTATATATGCAACATAAATTGAACACACAAACTGCCATGCAGCAATATATATATATATATTTTGATTCAAGATATATACAATCGATTTAGGGAGTATATAAAGCAAAAAAGGAATAAGTTATACAAAGTCTATATATATATATATATATATAAAAGTTACTTTGATACGCTGCAAAAAGTGCATTCAAACATTATTCGCATTCTCAAAGAGCGAACGACATTATTCAAAGACAGATTTGTACAGTGACAATTGATCATGTAATCTGTAAGATACTTTTAAGTTTGTAGAGTCACCAGGGCAAATTTAGTGACATTTAAGCAGTGAGTTACTTTCGTAACTGTGTTTTGTAAACAAAATTCAATTCAATAACAAACAAAAATTAAGTAAATACTTTTTCACCACACCTAAGCCAAAAATCGGACGGAAATCAAAATGCAAAAATATCCAATGCAAAATTCACCTCAATTATTTTATGGTTTTTTTTTCTCCTATTTGCAGAGAAATCACAATTGGCGCCAACGAAGCCGCACATTCAAGCAACAACAAATGGAACATGTTGATGCCGCTGATGGATTACAACAAACACATTGCCAAAATGCCAAATTGCAAAATGAGGTCGCTTAGAGCGTGGATGATGCAGCCACTACTGCTATTGCTGCTGCTCGGCCACAGCGACGTGACACGGGCGCTCGAGAATGGAGCAGGCGCTGGCGGCGGTGGCAACAATGTTGGTTCAGGCTCTGGTGGTGGTGCGGGCGGCAGTGGTGGTGGCGGTGGCGCCACATCATTGAGCGGACCGCCGGGAGCACTGAATGCCAATCTAACGGATCTGGGCAGTCCCGGTGTGTATAATTCGACAAATGGTTTAATGCTAATTACATGTAGACCTGTTTAACTATGAACTCCTCTCTCCTCTATCCAACCAAATTTGAGGCGACGCCGCCATTTTGCCAATTTTCATGTTGTGTATGTGTGTGTGTGTGTGTGTATTTTCTTGTGCACATTTCCGGCTTCCGTTTCCGTTGCTGGCCGATTGCCCTGGCGCAAAAAAAAAAAAAAAACTATTAGCCACTTTTAGCTAAATAACCACGCCCAGCCACCCCAACTCTTCTATACTTGAGCGGGCAATGCTCGCCACACACACACACACACACTGGCAACACACTAAGCATCAATTAACCCAATTTTCAGAATCCATTTTCACCTGACTCGGGCGCTGTTCTTTGAGCTTTAGTTTTTCCTTTTGGAGCAATGCTTCTTTCATGTTTTCTTTTATTTTTCCCATGTTTTCGTGCGCTTTTACCATCCGTAGCATTATTTTTTAGGATTCTTTCGTATACCCTTTAACAGAAATACAGATTGAGCTTACTTGAGACACAGTTTCATTCAGTGTCTTAATAAAAATCTTCAATTAGATAATGATTATACTAAAATGCATAACATAAGCGAATGCAACATTTTAGTAGAATCACATTAAATGTTTGACAATGTTTTATAATATTATGCTACTGGGTATAATTTGGTTGACCATTATCAACGCCTTTACTCTGTGCTGCACCACTAACAAATCCCAAGAGGCGTCGTCCTCGTTTGCTAAACTTTAATCCCGAAAACAGCTTCCACACATAGTACATAAAGTTGCTAGCCTTTTCCCCTGGTAGCTTCTTTTGTATTTTCCTTGGTTCTCTCTCTTTTTTCCTTTCTTCCTCTCTCTCTCTCTCTCTCTTTCTTTTACAGGCGCTGACGTGTTTTGTTGTAGTTTGGTTTTGGTTTGGTCTGGAGGACTGGATTGGATCGCCGTTTTTGGAAGCCGCCAACAATGATAATAATTAGTCTATTGATTTTAATTTGCAGCTTATTGAATATTACACATTCATTTTTTTTTTTCAGGCATTGCATATTAAAATAACTGTTAACGATTTATAACTTTTTTCATTAAAAGTACGTTTATTTTTTCCCCCCTCAACAGACAATGGAGCTCATTACTCATTGATGAGTTCGTAATCAGCAACAAATATGTTTAATAAATTGCATATCAACATGAATTTAAATAACATTTTTCACAGTTTTTGATTTGCATTTGAAAAATAATTACATTTTACACACTTTACAGGTTTTCTCTTTCAATTAAACTAATTATTCAATTTGCCATAGTAGTTTTTCGCCCTGCTGAGTTTTAGGGTCTCGCTTTCAACATGCGGGTGACATTGACCCACGGACAGATGGAACAGACGCGTTCTGCTCCACAGCCACATGATTGATTTGCTGGCCAGCATTTATGACTCTATGCAGTTTGAGAACCAGCTGCAACCAGATACTATCGGCACAATGAAATTGCCAAATTGTAAGTTTTATTGTGTGCGCAATCCAGCAACGTTGTTCTTCAATTTTCCATCTTTTTTCCTACTTTTATTTTCTTAGGCGACGGCAATTTTTCAAAGCGGAACTTAACTTAACATTTGTAAGAGAGAAAAGCGACATCGATTGCCTGCTGTTTCAAATGCACATCTAACGCATATTTTTAATGTAATAAGTTGATATATGAATTAAGTTTTTAATGAATTATTTTAGCCTAAGTACTATTAATTAAAAAATATTCTTCAATTTTCATTGTTCAAAATCAAATTTAACAAAATAAATGTTAATAAGTGTACAATTACATTAAATCAAGCTAAAATCAAAATATATTTTAATAAATTTATTGTTACTTAATGAAAAATTGCGAATTATTTCTTTGGGAAATGGAAATATTGATAGATTGCCAAGACTTGAAAACAGAGTAACAGAATAAACACAGATATTCCAATTATCGACTCCATTTGTATTCGACTTTGAAAAATTCAAGTATTTCAGAAATTAAATCTGCTAACACTTTTTGTTATATTTGCTGATAAATATAGAAATTCGAAGTTCTTACTTTATGATCAATCATCTGAAGATCACTCTCTTCTTCCTTAACTTATTCCAATTATGCTTAACAGTTTGTTGTTACGCTTAACCCGACTGGCGGGGTGGGCAGGAAGTTGATTGCAGGCAAATGCCTTTATAAAGATAACTCTCAGCCTACGCGAAAGCAGTTAAAAACAAAAAAAAAAAACGTGTTTAATGCCAACTTTTAGTCAACCTTTCTGCTTGTCTTGTTGCCTAAGATACAGATGTTATGCGGCCGCTGTAACTTGAAAGCCAAACATGGCACTAAAGATCGAGTGGAACGAGAGTGTTGATAAGATAAGACGTAAAGATAAAGTCAATCAATCAGTTGCCACAGCGCCTTTTTAAATTGACTTAATTGTCTAAACTAAAGACTAAAAATCGCAGTTTACAAATCAAATTGGTAACTTAATATGCCAATTGCCAGCGAACAAAGCAATGAGCTGACTTATTAACATATTTAGACTTTGAATGGGTTTTATTAACAAATTATTCACAATGTTTGGACAACTATGTGGATGGCTACAAAAGATTAAATTATTATCAAATGGGCATTCAATAAAAAACTGGTTCACGACATTTCCTTGCCGTTGCCGCAGATGTTCGTATTCTTTTTGTTATTATTGTTATTGTTTATTTATTGTTAAATTAGCTTGAAAATTGTCTGATCAATTTTCTAAGCCAAAACTTGGAGAGTTCCAGAAACTGCAAATACACGTAAACTTTTGCACTACGTCCTTTCAGCTGCTACACAGGAAAGTTGCACCAAAACAAATAGCAGGCCATAAGAAGTTGTTCAAATATTTATTTACTTTTTCAAGTTGTTGTTTCTTTCTTTATTTTTCGTCCTTTTTTTTTTTGTTGAATAAGTTCTTGGCGAAAAGTTGGGCCTTTACTTTTTGCACCTACTTTAAGTTGCGTTGCTGCAAAACTAATAACAAATCTTTTCATTAGTTGCGTTAGACAAGTTATTTAAAAAAAAAAACAAGTGTTCTTTAGGCAAACAAATGGCAGGCTATATGCGAGTACTTCTGCTACCATACTGAAAACAATAGAGTTGAACACAACAAAAATGTGTCTAAGCCAATAACCGGCAGCAGAATAGAATAGCACAGCTGGAGCTAGAAACTGACTGCAAGTTGGCTAAAAGTTACAGCTACCCTAAGCATAATGAAAACATAACATTTAGTTAGCACCTGTATTTATATAAGGCTGACTGAGGGTGCAAGCGAGATAGCCAGCACTTTTCCATTAATAACTCAAAAATGTTTTGGCTTATACAAGTTTAGCACACCTTTGAAAATGGCTTGAACATGGTCTGAGGACGGTTGCCAGCTGGGGTCTTTTAAAAAAGTTTATGCTGTTTCTTCTTGTTGTTTTTTTTCTGTCGTAGCTTTGTTGTGCAAAACAAATCAAAGGAGTTGGAAAGTTGCTTTGCTATTCTATCCACTTGATGGAGGTGGCCGGGCAGTGCAATGACTGTGGCAATAACAAAGACAATTCTTGACAATGGCAATTAAAGCAACAACGTTGCCAACAGACAAACTTTGTCAATAAAAAAACATTAAAAGCAAAAGGAACAGTTTCAAAACAACGACTATGACAAAATGGGTAAAACTCTTGTAATAAACGAAAATTATGATGATTTTCTATTTGCCATCGCGTTTTGCAAAATCATTTTCAAAACCCAAGCGCGACAACAAAGCACCACAAAAGCAGCTTGACAAAGGCATCAAAAGGAAAAACTAGGTGAGAGAGAGAGAGAAAGATTGAGACGGAAAACCCGAATAAGAAGAAATTATATGACAGGAAAATATATATTTGTTTATTGTCCCTATTGAGTTAAGTGAAATAATTTACAGCTGGCTAAGCTCAAATTTAAATACTCAGTTATATTTCTACTTTATAAAAATAGTAATTGGATGAAAAAATAGTAAAGTAGTCAGAAAAGTGGAATTGGTGTTTCCAAATTAACATTTACTTTTAATATTGGTGCTGGGTCATGATTAAAAAATGAACTGCTCTTGAAATCGATAGTATTCAGAACTATATTTACTTTATTAAAATACTAGTTGAGGAAACTTAATAAATTAATTATTACATTAAATTATTATTATAAAAATCTCTTAAATTTTAACAAAGTAGAGAATGCTGTGCTACCCCTATATTATAGTGTTACTATAAATCAAGCAGCATTTGCTATGAGCGTCAATTGTTAATTGTTACTAGAACTTAAAATAAAACTTTTGCAAACGTAAATAAAACAAAATATCAAAAAAATGAACGAGGAACCCAAACAAAAAGGAACATTTTTTAATAGACTTTTGCAACATTTGTGGGGCTTTGTAGATCGAAAGAAAAAAATTCGATACAGCTCGATAAGGGAAACACGGAGAGCGTTATTCGATTTCCTTGTATACATAATATTCCTGTTGCTGGCCTCACTGGGTAAGCGATCCTAATTGGGGCTAAAAAAAACAAAAACAATTCTAATCTCGATCAAATGTGCAGTGACAAATAGAACGAGCAATAATACTATGCACTATTATAACTATGCTATGGAACGCCAACTTGTACGGCGTCCTACGGTTATGGAGCCGGGATTAGCAATCACTTTCAAGGGAATCAATACAATAAACAAGTTTTGGGATTGGATATTTTTCAGGTTTATACCTTTACTTAACAAAGGTGACTTTAAATCGAACGACATCCTGTCCGTCTACCAGTTCCGCAACGAGACATCGGAGTTTCATGAGCTCGACAGCTGTATCCCGAATCGTACCCTGTTGCATGGAAATGTTCTGCTCGGACCTCCGCGTCTGAGACAGGTGCGGGTCCAAAAAGATCACTGCGAATATAATCCAATCTTCTCGAAATACATGGCCTCCTGTTATGCGTCCTACGATTGGTTTAGTGAACATAAAAGTGGCTATGCTGGAGATCGATTTGTCGGCTTGTGGGAGGCTGGCGCAATGCCAGTTTTTGGCGAAATTAAAACGTATTTGGGCGCCGGCTATATAAAGAGCTTCAGTTACGATAACGATGAGAACATAGAAATGGCTGAAAGCATAAAATATATCGACTGGATTGATCGCGGCACACGCATGGTTATGCTCGAGTTCAATATGTATCATGTCAATACATATCTGTTCCAGAGCACAAGGTCAGTGGTATCCAAAATGTAACATTATATTATTATTTATTGCACACTAATTGAATCTTCGGAACTTTGAACCCTTTATGTTTTATCTAATGGAGTAAAATACTTTAGATTATTTGTGGAGCAGCCTCCCACTGGTGGACTCGTGCCCAGCTATCAATTACATACGATGCGACGGGACACATTCTTCGGCGATAGCTGGCAGAATGTCATTATAGTGTTCAGTTTTTACTTTATGGTCGCTATTTTTACTGCCAGAGATATCCTAATCGTTGTGAGAATTGGTTTCTGTAAATATATCGGCCAAATTGACAATTTAGCGGACTTTGTGTGCTATTTGGTGAGTGAAGACTATCTCTAATAATAGTAAAGTGGTCGCTTAGAGCCCAAATTCAAATTGATATATTTAAGTATTTATTGTGATATATGCGTTAGGGTTGCTACATTATGCTGTTCATCAATGTGGTACAAGTTTACTACTTTCGGGGCATATTGATCGCAGCTCGCAGTTGTGATACGTTCGTTAACCTGGATGTGGTTTCTTTTATATCAATTATGTATAATAATATAGTTGGACTTGTCATATTTCTGGTCTGGATTCGAATGCTCGCCTTTTTTGTTTTTAATCGTACAATGGTAATATTTGTCAAAGTGGTCAAAGAGGTGCGTATTTTGTATTCTTTCTTTTAATTTAAGTTTTACCTTTATTTTTATTTACATTCTTTGCTTGTGATGTTATCAATGTTTTTTGTTCTTAGGTCACCTACGAAATGGGTGGTTTTCTTTTAATGTTCTTTGCCATCATCGTGGCATACGCACAGTGTGGCATGGCATTCTTTGAGGGGCACGACAAACAGTTTCGCGATCTGACAACCTCAATGCTAACCATGGTGCGCATGTTGATGTGTGACTTTAGTTACGAGGACTTGTTTAATATGAATCACTTTGTAACCCGGATTTATTACTTATCATTCGTGGTTGTGGTGTACGCGATGCTCGTTTTTGCCATGCTGGCCATCGTCAACTCCACATACGATGAGGTCAGGAGCTTTGCACAGACACGTCCCACTAAATTGGGCCTTGTCATCGGATTGTTCTTCCGAAGCGTCTACGATCGGCTCTATAGGCTAGTCAGGCGCAAGCGAAAGGAACGGGTTGAGTATGACCAAGATGTCAAGGGTGAACTGGAATTCGATCAGCGCATCGGTCCCCAAATGGCAGCCGAAAAGGATGTCCTTCGCCGGAGAGCACTTCAGTTAGTCAGCGTAACGTTTCCCATATTAATAAATTAATTTAACATATTTTCACCTCAGACATCCAGTAACTCTATCGCAGGCCGAATATCTGCCAGATCGCATGGAACGGTGGGTTTACCGTTAATAACTAAACACAGATAAATTTAATTCATTTAACTGCAATATTTTTCTTGCAGTGCGGGCAAATGTATCACGTCTTTGGAGGAGGTAACCGGTCCAGTCCTGAAACGTCTTCTTAAATATTTAAATATTCTGCGCAGAGAGCAAGGCCTCGACGAGATCGACATTGATGTCGTAATTCCAGAATCTAATGTGTGAGCATAACTAAGACTTGTAATAAATGCATGATTAATCTCATGTAGATAAAACATTTTTTAGATAACTTCTCAGCTCCTCCTCATTCCCCTTAAATTAGAAATCACTTGGCTTTTAGGGGCAAGCCTTGTGATTTTAATCATACGTTATTTGACAAAAACTATTCCTTTTTGCTGTGGAAAGTATTGGAAAGCTATGCATAACTAAGGCAAGGCGACCAGTTGGCATTCAGCAGAGCTGGAGCTCAATGCAAACATCCTTTTTTAATTGCAATAGACTCATAAACTGTAGATTTATCAGTTGCAAGTTGTCAACCGATGGAATACGTTCACGCCTGCCCCAAGCACTGTTCTGCTCATTATGCGCTTTGTAATGTCTGTTTATGTGCAATAATGCTTATAAGTAAAAAAATTAAATAAAGAGGAAAGGAAAAGGACGTTAAGGGAAAGGAAATGCCACACAAACTGAAATATGAAAGCGCAAATAATGCTTAAGCAATTTGTTGTCGTTTCGTTTCATTAAATGTCCAGTCATCAAGAGAAGCGAATCTCTGCCACCCACCACCCACCAACCAATTCAATTCACCCTTCAACCCCCCACATCCGACAGCTTACCTAGTTCCAATTGGACACCCGCTTCCCCATCTGGGCTCGACTGACTCCGGTTGTCGTTATAATTTGCAAAACTCTGCTCAAAAGAATGAATAAACAAGAGCAAAAAAAAAAAAAAAAAGAAGCAAACCCACACACAGACAAAAGGGAAAGAAATTAGTAATAAAATGGAAAGCAAAGTGAAATGGCCGTAGGAGTCTGGATGGACCACGAGCAACTTGTTGCTCGGGAGCAGGATGCCAGTCCTCGCTGTCAGGCATGCTTGTGATTTCCTGTGAAGCGTCGGCGGCATCGGTTCTGGCCTTAGCTGTTGCTTTGCTTTGGCATAGCCAACATGCAACTGGCGACAGACGTTTCCTGCAACATCCTCATCACATCCACATCCACATAGCGCGATATTATTATTGCTTTGACCCATCTATCTATACACTTGCTGGGGCTATTTTATTAATCTGACAAATTTTGTCATGCATCGGAAATTGAGCTGGTTTGAACTAATTCTCGAGCTGGAAGTTTTGAAATTTTCAATATATTTTAGCTCAGCTAACTAATTTTATCATGTAGCAATTAACAGCAGCTACATTGACAAATGATGGATTCTTTATTATTTTGAGGGTTTTAAATTTATTTTTTGCTGTTTGATAATGAAACTCTTTTATTAATTAGTTGGTTAGTTAATCAATTTCTAATATATTTTGATTTGGCAACGAAAAGTATGTAGATGTTAGCAAGAGTAACAAGTCTTCGGTGCACTGAATATGCTTCGTTTTTTCTTTCTTTTTTTGTTGTTGTGTTGCTTGCTGCTCTGTAAAAATGATTATATTTATGCTAGTAGCTTGTGTGGCAAGTGGCGAGTGCTGCCTGCTGGCCGCTGCCTGCTGCCCGCATTCTTTTTGCCACTTGAATGACTCATTAAAACTGATTTCATTTCTGAAAAAAAAAAAACAAAAAAAACATTTTTCTCGCTGCGGTTGCTGACGGCATCGTCGGCCTTAGCGCCTTATCAGCGGTCTGCGTCCAGTTCACTCTCTCATTCTCTGCCCAACTGCTCACCCCTGCCGTCTGGTCTCCATCTCACAGACTGTTGCTGTCTTTTATTTAATTTACTTGGAGTTTACTTTTTTAATTCGCTTGGCTACTTTTGGTTCCACTTTCGGGCTTGACTTGTCGTATCGCTTCCTTTGTGCGTAAATCCTTCACAAAAAAAAGGAACATTTGCCTGCGAGATAAGCGATCTGAGTCACTCAGAGTTATATTTGTTGTTGTTGTTTTTGTTGTTGCTCGTCGAGCTGCCTAAGCGACTTGACAGTTACTTTACGTAATAGGATACAAAATTGCATTGCTGCTGCTGCGGTTGATGTTGCTGTTGCTGTTGATGTTGCTGTTGCTGTTGCAAGTGGGAGCATCAGCAAAAGGCCACTTCAATGTCGCTTGTTTGCCTTTTGTCAGCTTTTTTTTTACCTAATTCCCCAGATTAACTGCATTATGCGCCACACTGGGCGCATAATAACAAGCAGCCCCAGTCATAGGCCTAACGCCAAAGCCAACGCCCACCCATGTTGTCAGCGTTGTCGACTCGTTGTCGTTGTCGCTGTCGCTGTCGCTGTCGCAGTTGCTGTTGCATATGTGAGTGGCCACTTGAGCAGCAACTGCAACAGCAGCACCAGATGTGATAAGTGATGACAAAACGACAAAGCGGACTAACGCACAACACGCACCGCGACCTGCCCTTTTGAGGTTGTGCATATGTTGCTAGTAAGCCTTGCCAGACGCACTGAGCAAAAGCGCTTTAAAACTGTTGCAAGTGCTTCAAATGTTAAATTCATTTAAATAGCTAATATAAACTTAAGCAAATTTAAACGTTATGATGCATATTAGGGGTTTATTTGCGATCCTTCCTATTGCAGCAATTTGACCTAGATTCAAATGTTGGTTTGTAATAATAATTTAAATTACTTAATTAGTATAATCGCTATATCGACTCCGAATAGACATATAGCCTCTACTCTCTGTCTGTCAGCGTTTTAGATGGTATATAACTTATGGTTTGATCAAACGTAGAGCCTTTGCCAACTACTCCCTTCTAATGCCTAAAATATAAATTTCCTTATGAAAATAAACAGTTTTCGTTAGCTAGTTAACAATGGCTAACATATATTCAAGAGAGACTTCATTAATGGCTAAGCAGTTAAGTTAATTTTCTCTCAGTGCATGCACACACAAATTACCATTCGCTGCAGCGGGCTTTTGCCAGTGGCCAATAAATTTCTATTTAAGCATGGAGAGCGAATAAAATAGGGGCATTTCTAGTTACAACGGAGGAGTAGGAGAAGGGCCTGGGTTAGCTAGGTACTAACTGCTAGCTACTGTGAGGCCGCGGAGCTGAACTGAGCTGAGCTGAGCTGAGCTCCAATGAAGCGGCACGTGGAAATGCTTATAATTGCATCCGCAACTCCCTCAGATGCCGGCAGGGTCTGAAGTTGGCACGGGGCACATGCAGCAATAATTTTGACGGTTGATTGATCAAAGCAGCAGCCGGCTATGAAGTTGTTGATGATGTTGTTGTTGTTGTTTTTGCTGTTATTGTTGTCTTTTATTATTAGTGAGCAACAAAAACAGCAAGAGCAGATAGCTGCTTATTTACATAGCTTGGCAACAGCATAGCTATTTTATATGCCATTTATATATGAGGTCCGAGCTATAGTATGGTTTTGAGGGTTGTTACAAGATACAATGTGCAAGATATGAATACGGATATATACGGATATGTATCGGCAAATAGCTGACAGAACAGCTGACTTGTTTAACTGGCCCTCGGTTGCTGCTGCACTTGGACAGCGGCGCTCAGCTGCAATAAATCAAATTTTAAATCGCCTTTGAGCCAAGTTAAATTGCCAGCCGGAAGCTCGAGATGGGCGAGTGTAACAATCCAGTATTGATTGCATTCAGTCTATCAATTGTAGTTTATTTTAGCGCACACTATTCAAATACAATGTATTAACGATGTTGTAGAACAATTAGACTATGAATAAAGTGTTATCAGCGAAAAGATTTATATGGCCTTAAAGCCAAACTAATCTTTTGCCATCCAACTTTGATATGAATACCATTAACTTCATTGAAGCCAAATAAATATATTCAAAGACGAAGAAGAAACCAATTCTTAAAATGCAGCTTCAGATGAAGAAATTCTATGACAAATTCGAGACATTGTTGCATGGCAATCAAAGCAAATATTGCTTTGCTTGTTTCTCGGAGCTTAACAAAACTGCAATGTGCCCAATGTTTTGTTGCCTCTGACCTGATCTACTCTTTATGCAAGGCACACACACACACACACACATACACACAAGGCAACTGTGTGGGTTAAAAACAAAGCAAAGCCAACTGGCTGTGAGTGAGCACGTTCGTGTATCTGAAAGATACACAAAACACTGAGTGCGAGTTGTGGGCACGGATTTTAGATTAGGCAAATGCAGCAAATGTAGCTAATAAAACAATTATGCCATGGAACAGCAGAAGCAGCAAGAAGAGCAACATCAACAGCAATAGCAACAGCAACAGCAACAGCAACAACAGCAATAGCAACAACAGCAACAGTTCAGTTTAGTTCAGTTCGATGCTTTGTGATGGCCTTTCACTGCCAACAACAGCATCAACATCATCATCATCATCTTCATCATTCTCATCAGTGGCAACAACATTGTTGCAGTTGTTGCTTTTGTATGCCATTGTCTGCCTGGCGGCCAGTAACTGTAACTATGCAAAATCTAGGCGCAACTACATGTGTGTGTGTGTGCGTGTGTGTGTGTGTGTGTGTGCTCTATGAAAAAGTATGCCAAACAATGGCGCCTCCAATGCCTGGCCACAAGAGCTGCTTCGCGCCCAACCTCACCGACAAATGAATGCGAAATGAAATGCAGGCGGCTCGTAGCCATCAGCTTTTGGCTGCAGCATAAGTTACAGTTCGGACACAAGCCGAGTGTGCGAGATGCCGCAGACAATAGCGTCGAAACAAAACAAAAGATACAAGCAATATGGGTAATATACTTAGTTGCAAGTGTTGCAAGACCGGCGAATACCTTGTAACCCACTTCAAATGTTATTAAGCCCATTACACACTTTCTGCTATACATTTTATACATTTTGAAGTCAGGCTTAAATCAAAACTAAAAGAGTTCTTTATAAGATATTGAAATATAGAAACTATAGAAAAAGTTGTTAACAAATTCTAGCAGAGGTATATCAATTATGTTATACTCATTGTGATCAATGGATTAATGTCAAAGAATCTCCATTGATCGTTTGAGATTTATTTTTTCAAGAATTAAATGTTTTGAGTTTTCAAAATTCCGTTTCTTGCTATAAAATATGATATTCTTGCTATAAGCAGAAATATTCTTAAATGAAAACAATTTATTTGAATGAGAGCTGAAGTTTCTGAGACAAGCTCATAAAGTCTCTGATTAGATTACAATGCAAACCCTTTCAAGATCATCAAGTGATTTTTCTATTATAAACATTGACTGGGTTAATTTCAATTATTTAAAATTGCTTTCCGCTATTCCCGGCGAGGGGAAGAGAAACTCATGCCTCTCATCGAACCAATTGAGTCGTGATAATCTTTTTGTGATACCCCCTTCACATTATCTCTTAACTAATTAGCAGGCGCTGTGTTCTCTGAAGAAACGAAGGAGAAAACTCAATTCAATTTGCTCAATATAGTTGCACAAACTTAAACACATTTTAAGTATAGGGTATAGAATTGTTCGCCGTAATGAAACTTGCTTGCCGCGTTCGTCGTCCAGCGTCTGTCGTCTGTCGGTCGTCGTCTGTCGTTCGTCGTCTGTCGTTCGTCGTCTGTCGTTCGTCGTCTGTCGTTCGTCGTCTGTCGTTGGTCGTCGCATGTATCTTTTAGATAATCTTCATTTCTCGTTTGTGGCTAATGGCCAGGCACTGGCGGTGGTAGTGGCACTGGCAGTGTGGAACTGGAACTGGCCCAGGCACTCAAGGATATCGCCTGGCGTTGCTGCTTGCTGGTTGCTTTATGACCATTGGGGTACGCAGCACTCCA